GTTTCATCAGACTCGAGCGTGAAGGAACTCTATTCCCATCGCGTCCCAGTAGGCGCGGCGAGGTTTGGGGTTTCAACGAGCGAACAAGCGCTTGTCACAGGTCAACTCTGAACCCAACAACCATTCGCTGAGGGTGACTGGCGTCTTTACTCCAACGAACGACGGCAATTGCTTAGTTATTGACAGCTGGCCTGGCTCCTCTGTATCGTTAGCCCCTAGGTTTGCAAGTGTACCCCGTAGGAGACCTAGATGGAGGACCGGCGTATGGGTGAGCAGTCCACAAGACAGGATAGCATTCGAGATGGATGTCTACTCACAGGAGCTGTACACGCCTATCCCGGATTAAACCGCTGTAATCCTTCAAGGCTGAACCCACAAAGCAGGGTACTCCTGAGATAGAAGTACGGCCCGTGACTGAATCGCTTGCTTGCACGCTTATCCGTGGGCCCTTTCGCGAATCGTTCCCAATTGCCCACAGTGAAGGAGCAAGTGAATAGAGACGGGGTGAAGGAGAGAACGAGATCGCTCTCCGGAGGACTTGTCCCACGATCTCGAAATTGACCAGGTCGCCCGAGCCTTACTCCTTGGAGCAGCGGCCGAGAGAACGCGACTACTCCGTAGGCTGCTCGACCCTGGAAAGCAACGGGCGAATGGGACAGGCCGAGCATTTGACACAGCGGCCCGGGGAATGGGGTGAATCTAAAAAAGGTTGTCTTGCACTCATTTGACACGAGTGAGAGCAGCGGGGAGGCCCGTGCCTCTCATCCAATTCTTCCAGTTCGTAGTCTACGTTGTACGGAGTGCTTCACTTTACTCGTTCTGAGGTCTCACTTCGCTCGTCTCCGATTGGTCCTTCGCTGAGCCCGTCACTGCAGATAGATTTCAGGACCACTAGTTGGCTCATCACTGCAAGCGTCGCAAGCTTGGCTCAGCAGCCATGATCACAGAACACACAGCGTCGACGATCCGTTGCACAGGGCTGCACCGTTATGGTCTCACAAGTTGCAGCACCTGCTTAAATGAGCGAAGTCCATACGTGATGGAAGAGACGAACATGCTTTGGTTCAATCACAGATAGTCGGGAAGCACGCTCCCGAAAAGCCTAATCATCCAAAAACCACCAGAATTTTTGTGTGTGGGGCTTGCAGTATGCCGAGTGGAACCTGCAGCGAGCCGTCGTCCAGGCAGTTGTCACAATTGGAACGAACCATCGGCTCCAACATCGAACACGAGAAAACCGTCACAAAAAGTACATAGTAGGCAGTAGATGTGTGGATGGTTCAATTTGACAAAAACGTCCCGTTTACCCTGCTACTTGTCCTTGCCTGGTGTCTCCCTTCCCCATAGCATTATCAAGCCCCTCTGATTTGGTGAACCCTGACAGACGTTTAATCTCCGTCAACCAGACTCAACCCAACAGCGAAAGGCATAAGCGAGCTGTCAATATAGGGTATATTTGTTGCTTTTATGCTATCCTGATCCTTGATCCGTGGGGGCCGCTGTTTGCGGGTGCTGACGATTTCAGATCGACTTGCATCCGAGTATCTTCGGCGAAAGGGCTCCATTTCTCTGTATCTCCTTGCACGAATTATGGCGGCTCAGCAGTGGTCGGGGGCGAGGTGGTTTAAGTGGTGTATTTCTATAGAGTTTCGGTTGGAATTCTCCGCAGGGAACAAATTTATTAAAAATGATTTTCATCCCGTCTTTTTGGTTTTTCGATTCTGTTAAGGGGGAGGCAATACATTTCCGCAATCTCCTATCGTTCCCTGCGATTCACGGCCCGAGGAAAAAGGATTCCGCCGCCAGGAGTTCGAGAAGGAGGCTATCCCCTCGAGAATTCCGTTGGAAATTAGTAGAATACATGACTTGCGTTGATTGTTTTATCTGTAACAAATGTCTTCCGCCACCAGCCATCATGATCGGTGCTAAGATCTAAAAAGAACAGATCCAGGCGTAAATTTATAATACTCCTGCTATCCAGGGTTTCTGCCATAAAACTTGAGGTAAGGTCTATCACGGCCTTTCTTTTTCTTGGACGGAGGAGATAGGGATTTTGCGTGACACAATATTAGAAGCGCATAAAAGCAGCGGCAGAACTGATGCTCAAGTTATTTCGACTCGAACGTACGCAGCCTCCTATGTCATCGTTTGGTGTGGAAAAGCAAACCGAAAAAAGCATGTAGGAACGAGCTGCCTTCCCGCCTACGCTTGCGCCAAAGACTTCCCGATCATCTACCATGTACCGCCCGGGAAACGTAACGGCGTGACGACTGTATCTCCAAGAGCGTGCAGAAAGAAGAATATGAGGTGAAATGGAAAATTCCTGACGGACGGGAGTTAAATACCGGAACCCCAATCACGTACAACAGCATGGGGATGTGATTGGTCATTATGTCATTGCGTACACGCCGTACCCTCATAGTATAATGCATCTTGGTCGACGTGGTCCCTTTTCCCTTCCGCCATAGTGTCTGGTCTGGTCCCCACCCCGACCTCCATCACCAGCCCCGCCTCCTCCAAGATTCGTCCCTCTTCGACTCGTCTCACGGTTCATAGTCTGCCGCTGCCTCCGCAGCAACCGTACAACATCGTAAAAAGCCTTTTCAACATTAATGCAGTTCTTAGCCGACGCCTCCACAAAATCGCAGCCCAACTCCCTGGCCAGTGCATGGCCTTCTTGTGTCGACACTTCTCGTTCTGTTACTCTGTCACTCTTGTTCCCAACCAGCATCACTGGTATCTGCATGTTTGCTCCCGACGACAGGGATGAGGGCGAGCTCATCGGTGATCCCCCATAACCCATTCCCGGCGTTGAGGTACCAGTGCCCGAAAACTCCTTGACCCGCTGTATCTGTTGATGGAACTTCTGAATCCGCGTAAACGAAGACCTTGACGATATGCTGTAGACCAAGACGAAGCCTTCTCCGTCCCTTATCCATTGGTCCCGTAACGCTGTGTACTCCTCCTGCCCCGCCGTGTCCAGGACCTCCAACATGCACGATTGTCCGTCTATCACGACTTGCTTGCGGTACGAATCTTCGATCGTAGGATCATAAGTCTCGACGAAGTGATTCAGACATAGCTATTGTCCCTAGGCGTGAGCTCGGTGACACAAAGTCCAATTTCCCGGCTTTGGATAACAAACCTGGATGGTCAGGGCTGTCTTCCCAACGCCTCCGTCTCCAAGTACCACCAGCTTATATAGCATCATCTTACCCGCCATCCCGCAGAGGTGTGGAGAGAGGTGCGAGTGGACCTAGTGTCCAGTATTCCTTGGTGCGAACTAAAATACCGAATGTTCGGATAGGCACAATTCTAGACTTGGAGGATTGGGAATAGAACGCGGGGGGCCAGTTTAGATCGTCGCCGTTCTGGTATCGAGAGAAAAGCTCCTTTTTGAATGTAGGGAGACAAGTATATATTGCCCTTTCGTGGATACCCGGAATTTGAACTCCTGAGTTTTGAAAGAACTGGGATGCACAAACTCGAAACTTGGATATTTGCCGGGTACCGGATCGAAGAACGACCTAAAACTCGGATCCACGATTTAAGAGAATCAAATATACCAGCCGAAATCCTCGGGCGTCGGGAGAAGATATCTAGCCTCTCTCACATCAATTGATGACTTGGTGGCCGACGTATGGGCAAGGCTGTTATTGGTGACAAGTATGCTCGTGGCACAAGCAGCTTTTCGGCCTACGCAAACCCCTTGGAGATCTTGGCCGTTGTGCGGCGGTTCCGGCAAGCCGTACTTTGTCGGCACAACAGATTTTTCTTCTTTTCCCTCTTGACCTTTCTTCAAGACCTTTGTGATAAACCCCTCTTGTTTTGTACGACGGACGAAGCCAAGGAGAACCGCGTTGCGGACCGTCGGCAGAAACGCGACACGCGAGGGTCTAATTTCGTTCGGATGCCGAGATGGAGGGAGGGCTGGAGAAAGAAATATTAGGTATTAGGATGAAGAAAGCAGTGTTTGAGAGGTAGCGAAAAGATCTTTCGAGTCTGTGCGATCTGCAACTCGGGCCGTCTGCGTGAGTCTGCCTCGTCAAAAGGCTCAGCGAGCTTGGAGAGGGTACAACAAGGTGAGGGCGGCGATCACACGTGGCTGGCACGTGGAGACGACAGCTAATTAAACTACGCACAAGTAGCAGGCAATAGGAGCGTATACTTGGGTACTTATGCTTCCGGCGATGGAGAAGTCAGGATGCCAGCCAGGTATCTTAAAGCTACGTGAGCTTCCAAGGCCAAGCGAAAGGGTTCATTCGCTGGTGCCTGCAGCCAGTCCAACGGATTTTGTTAGTAAAATATAGGACGAATCAAAAAGGCTACGGTTCAGCACATGTCGAAAGTCTGGTCTCCAATCATGCGATAATCCCTGATCTAAGCTTCTTTTTCGATGCTCAGGACGGGTCCGCAGAAGAAACTTTAGGCCGAGTCGACGTGCACAAGGAAAGCCGTCAGTTTATGAAAGGCCCCCAGAAAGCCCAGAAAGGTTACCGGCGGAAAGGAGTGGCCTAGCGTCAAACCTTCTCACATCGTGGGTTAGAGCCCTTGAGGGACTCCTGCTTTATACTGCCGGTATGCACTGTATTTGTGTTTGCCGACGCCCAGGGTAAATATGCTCGGGTACCGCAGCGTTGTGCCCTGCACTGCTAGGGAGTTTATTCTGTATGTGAGTTGTATGTGAGTGAAGGGATAAGGGTCGTCAGGACAGCAACGATCCCCCCACGCGAGGAGCCAGAAACAACACAACTCAACCAAGACGCAGCCAAATTCTTGGAGAAATGCGCGGGTAGACCAGAAATAGTTCAGGCAGTACGCCCAAGAATTTTCAGAATTGCTTGATGTATGCAGCATGCTTGAGCGTTATGTCGAGGCCGATTCGGCGATTACCGACGGACTAACAAACCTTTCCCTGGTACATCCTGCGTACATACTGTATGTGCAGCAAAACTCGGTCTTACTTGACCAGGACGCGGTCGTCGCAGATAAAAAAAAACTGAGAGGGGCGAGGATCGAACTCGCGCGGGGTTACCCCCATGAGGAGGAAGAGTCAATCGATCTTGAGCCACACGCCATAACCACTCGGCCACCCTCCCATTTGGACTGATTCGTCGCTTAATCGTCAATTTAAACCTCGCTCGACAATGCTGAAATATCCCTAAAACTAATACTCTCGCAGCGGAAATTGGCAGTTTTGAGATGTTGATTTGCGCACCTACTAGAAGATGGAGACATAAATTCTTGATATATCTTTTTTGCTAAATACATAAAGGCCTAGCGTGCCGAACTATCATAAAACACATCGCTGTTGAGATCTATGGGTGCGAATATTGAAGACTCCAATGGATGTAATGTATCGGCACCTACGACATAATATTACACCCCCTACTCTTCCCACGGCAATTGAAACGTCTCAACCCACTCTTCGATCTCCCTCCTGAGCTCTAGGATCTCACGAATAGATTCACCTTCACCGACATACTCTAAGAATGCCTTGACGCTGCTAGGAGCCTTCCGGCCTTTGGCCTCCGCGTCCTCCCTTGCTGCTTTGTCTAGCTCCTGTGTAATGGTCACCGCGCGGTCAACTACCTCTGCCACACGCACAAAGTCTTCGGTGTTGAAGCCTCTCGAGGTCATCGCCGGAGTGCCCATACGTAAACCCCCAGGTTTCATAGCAGATTTATCGCCAGGCACAGTGTTCTTGTTGCTAGCAACGCCGACAAGTTCCAAGATTCGCTCAACTCGCGCCCCATCAACACCGCGAGTTTTCAAGTTCACGAGTACAAGGTGATTGTCTGTGCCACCCGACACAACATTGTATCCTAGTCCGCCCTGGGCTTTGGAGTTACCTAGCCGAGCTGCAAGTGCTTTAGCGTTTGCGAGCACCATCTTCTGGTACTCCTTAAATTCGCTGGTCTGTGCCTGTAGAAGAGCGACAGCTAAAGCGGTGATGGTGTGGTTGTGTGGCCCGCCTTGGTGACCAGGGAAGACGGACGCATTGATTGGTTCCTCGAGATTATAGAGCTCTTGTTTCTGGGTCTTAGGGTCAATGCGTCGGACACCGCGGCGAAAGAAGATCATAGCACCGCGAGGACCACGAAGAGATTTGTGGGTCGTGGTAGTAACAATGTCACTATAAGGGAATGGAGAGGGTACGACGCCCGCCGCAACTAGCCCAGAAATGTGCGCCATATCACTCAGGAGGTAGGCGCCTGACTTATCTGAGATGCTGCGCATGCGGTCATACTCTATGAGCCTGCTATAGGCCGACGTGCCGGCAACTATGACCTTAGGCCGGAAGAGCAGGGCAAGACTCTCAAGGCCATTGTAGTCGATGAAGCCAGTAGAAGGATTAAGGTGGTAGGGTAGAGTTTCGAAGTATTTAGAGATCATGGATATTTTCTTTGTGGGGGTTTGGTAGCCGTGAGAGAGGTGGCCACCGTGAGGGAGGTCAAGTCCCATGATGCGATCATGACTAGCGCAGACGGCAGAGTATGCATATAGATTTGCGGGAGATCCGGAGAGAGCTATATATTCGACATGTCAGGCTACCCTTCATTTAAATTGAGCTCATAGCTTAAGTAGTTTGCAAATGGAGACAAACGCTGAACGTTAACCCCCCATTCCTCTCCTTTTAGGCCGAATGTATCTAAGGCCCGCTTTTGACACAGCCTTTCTGCTTCGTCTATGAATTGATTCCCCCCGTAGTATCGTGCTCCGGGGTAGCCTTCAGAATACTTGTCTAGACAAATCAGTACCCGGGCGCCCACAATCGCTGAGACGATTGCCGCGGAGAGCGAGAAGGCATACTTTGCATAACACTACCGAGGGCATCAAGGACTGCCTGTGAAGTAAAGTTTTCAGACGGAATGAGATTGATGAAATGTTTCTGCCTTTTTTTCTCCTAGGGAATTAATTAGCACGACCCAGATCTGACCTTATTAGATCGCTAGGATAGAGTAGGAATTTGTCTCCACATACCTTTAGCAAAATCTCAAACACCGTTGGATCCGCTTCTTCAAGGTGCGCAGAGAGCAGCTGGGGGTGTAGTAAGTACTTGCAGCCCCATCACAACAGGAGAGGTAGATGTCAAGCCCATACTCTCTGCTGTTTATCAGTAGCTACCGAGGCCAGTCCGCGCCACCGTATCATTCGCCGTTTCGATTCATTAGCACATCTGAAAAGGCCAACGCTCGAAACCGCTTGAATGCGTGTCGACGGCAAACCAAAACAGGAGCAGAGAGACATTATAACTAGCCGTTCTAGGAGGTGACAAAGGAGTGTGAACTCCCACAGCTCTTGTGGATCAATTGATTCGCATTCCTCTTGGTTATGCGCGAATCTAAATATTCTTAGAATCTGGCGTTTTTGTGGAGGAATCGGAACCTGGGATGCTGCCCCACATCGGCATAGCGGCTATTGGGTGCCAAGAATTTCGGGTTCATACTGACATCCAACGTCGTCTTACTTTTATTTCTTCACACAACTAAATCCAAAATGACGAGATAGCCTTTACGGCAGTTTGCAGCCCTCGCTCTACTAGCTCTAGAGCTGAGACAAGCGGGCGATGCTGAGATGTTCCGGGCTCTCAACACCACCTTTACAAGGGGCATTTTGAGACTGACTGATTGGACCATGAGTTGTGTCTTCCATACCTCACCATTTATCATTGAGATGAGAAAACGTAGCTGATCCATTATATGGGCATGAGGTGAGGCCTCTCTGTAATTAGAATTTTATTATCTCGTGTAACGACCTTTTACCAGAACCCATCATTATCGTCGTTTTTCTCTAGTTTAAATTTACCAAAGGCTCTTCAGCCGCTTGATTCAACATATTGGATACCATAAGAAGCATCACTTACCCGAAGACTAAGAATTCCCGGGGAATCGGCGATTCTCCAAAGGCACAAAGTACAACTGCAGCCTACAGGACTCGGGGTCATTCATTCCAGATTGTGGTCCCTTCGGCGTCGGCACCATGCCAACAGTGGAGCGTGGCCATGAGGTACCAGAAGAGTCGGGTTTTTGGACCTTGCCCCTTGCTATTGCTTCTGCGATGGCTAGCTTGCGCGGAAATACTTTGATGAGAGATAGCGCGGCTCCTGCCTGGTGAATTCTATTATAAGATATCATTCAATACTGTTGTTAGGATGTGGGGACGCAGGAAGCCCCGTTGTTTACTCGAAATCTCTTTAGCCCCCTTTCTTGTTGGTGTACCAACTCTATCTCCTGGCAACCCCGCGTGGAATAACAAAATCCCAAATCCTCACCATGACATAAAATCTTCTACCTTCTTGTGACTCGCCAATTTCTTTGCATCCACCAACCCCTAGCACATTTTCTACCTCGCATCCCTCAGCCTCCCAGTATCAAGCTCCTGCATGGACTTGCATGTGCGAGTGGATCAGTGTTTTCTTCGCAGTATAAGTTGTTACAACTTTATCATCTCGCCCAACGCTAGGATTCTGGTCCGGGCAGCTCACTCGCCTGTTGCTTGTTGACAGCCCACCACAAAGTCTGGGTCCGGGTTCTATTGGTAAGAGTAGTATCCGCCACCGTGAATTCCGTTCAACAGCACTTGGAGAAGACCCATAGTCCGTAGGTTCGTAGTTTCGTGGCTCGCTCACAACTTGCTTTTGCAGATCTGTTTCTTCTGGTGGGATTTCTTATTGAGCGCCATCAGCTAGTAGCCAACGCTGTTTCGAACCGGCATACCACAGCAGAGTCCTTGGATGAGAACTGCGACACTAGACGATCACGCCATCGAGCTCCTTTTCTTTTAATTCATAGGTGCTCTAACGTCTGCGCTTGTGTCACTCTTCTTATTTGCTACAAAATTTCAGGTAAGCGGTTATTAAACTCAACGCAGTAAGTAAGGAGCTCACAGTACTACGCAGAATTCTTGGGTTTGATCCTGTTACGGCCAAAAATCTTTCTAGTCAAGTTTTGTCAGGTTTTTGGCCCACCAGCTGCCTTATTCGCTCCATTAGCATTTGTATCAGCTTCGTTCTTTCTCACCGTGTTGAAGCTTGTGAGTACTCTACATATCTGATTGGATGTTAAGGGACTCATTTTCGCACAGCATTGCTTCATCTACCATGGCGCTTGGGTCTATGGCAGACAAGCCTAATGGAAGTAACGGTACCCAGCCCAATTCCCCGACTGGAAGACCTACCCGTCAACGGCAAAGGGTCATTAGGTCTGGCTTTGTCGATACAGTCGAATCGCTAAACCAAATTGTGGAACTTGACGATTCCGATTCGGAGGTAGATGACCCAACTATTAGTGGCGGCGGAAGGAGGAAGCCTACGAAATCACGCAAGGCATTACTCAAGCGTACTCCTACTAAACCGCCGCCGCTAGAGCCGATACTCGCGGCCCTGGGTATCGCGGACCAGCCGATCTCTAAAAAGACCCCACCGAAACCGGTCGCCACAATAGTATCTTACGCCAGCGGAATTGTCCCTGTTACGGTCAATTGTGCTTCAGTAAAACTTGCCATCAATGTCCCGGCAGGCCAGAAGTTCCCGATCCTACTTGACTTCAATTTGCACAAACTGAAATATCATATAGAGAAAGGCAAAGTCTACAGACTCAAGACGGCCGATCAATGGGTAATCTTGAACGCTGAGTTTGGCAGCGGCATGAGACAAGAACACCTACTCAATGTCGAAGCCCTTCTAGACGTTGCTGGTATTCGCACAGAAGTCTCTAAAGATGGCTCGATTGTCGTGGATGTAGATTATCTGAACAATATCGCAAGCCTAAACAAGGATTTTCGACTCGTCAACCCAGAAGTAGTCATCCGCACCCAGGAGAGAGCGGTAAATACCCCCAAAGGGTTTCTGGACCTCCCTCCGGAGATAAGAAATATGGTATACTCACTTCTATTCGTATCCGAAAATCGCCGAGTCAACTTTTGTGGGGTAGGAGAGTCCGAGACTATTGGTGATCGGACTGTATTAGTCCGACTTTCTAGTGCCTTCCTGGCGACATGCCGGCAGGTCAATATGGAAGGAGGCGCAGTCCTCTATGGCACAAACAAGTTTGTTTTCGAGAGAAGTTTCAGTCTCCGTGGTAGATGGTTCGAAGCC